CCTAATAAGAGAATGATAGATCGAGAAATTTCCAAGCGGGATTTCCTTGTTGACTACCCTAATTTTTCCGAAGCCGTTCTTTGAATGAATAACGAACGCCTTTCCCTTTCCTCCCTCGTCACGTCACCCCCGACAAAAGCGCGTGTTGTTTGCTCATTCCTCCCCCTGCGCCCTCCCTTTAATCGAACGAACTACACTGTAGTATATTAGAACTGGTGGCGTTGAAATCAGAAAGTTTGCTCTAGAGAAGAAATCTCCGAAAGAAATCGGTAATCGATCGCGTCGTGCTATCTACAACACCTCCCCGAGGAGTAGTTGCTACTTTGGAAGTCAGCGCTGGGGGCGGGCGGGGCGGCGGAGCCATTCACGGGCGCAACAAGAAACTAAATTGAACGGAAATTTCGCCATGCCTTTAATCGAGCGGGCCAAATGCCAACGGTTCGGAGTCGCGCCAATTCCCTGTTGCCTTCGCTTCACTCCACTTCCTCCTTTCTTGTTTGGTCTTCTTCGGAGGCCTATTCGGAGCCACCGGCCCGGAATGCTGCACGTATACTGATTTATTTGTGTTTTTTGGACACGGACGCCGACGGATTCACAATGGCGGAGATGGAACAGAGGAATTTGAGGATGCTTTCTACTGATACGGAACTGCGGTAGCTCCTGAAAAACTAAGCTACGAAATGTGGTTTTTGCTGGTGTTTAGAAATTTCGTGAGAGAAAAGGAAGGAAGTTACAGTTCAACTTTAGCATTTAGTGCATTTAATTTATGTAGATCTAAACCAGATTTAACGGATAATGCACCAATTATCCCACGTACTTATTTTGTGGTGTGTTTATTTAATTCGAGAGCTGGTGTTTAGATAACGTTTCATGGATGTTTTTAAATGTAGTCAAACAGACTATTGACAAAACAAGTGTACGTGTTTGATAATATACTCTTACAGATCAACACTTTAACTCCAACAATAATTATCAAATTATTATTTAGCAGCCGCTGTCAAGAAATGGGACGTTTTTCCCATGATAGAGAAAAAAAGTCCATTGCGACCCAATCATTACTTCCACTAGCATGGAGGATTATGATGGAGATACTTTTGTAAACAATATAATCAACAATCTACGTAGAGAATCTATGATATAAATAATTATATTTCTCAGTATCTTATTCCTAGATTCTACTATAAATAAAAATAAATACAACCAAAAAAAATAAAATTCAAATAAAGCCTGTTGGCGACATGTTTACATTATTTTTTCCAGAAATTAAATCTCTCTACCAAAAGAAAGCCTTCAGGTTCATTAAACGAATTGATCAATTTCTCGACAAAAAAGTGTTGTAATCTTGTTATACTCGACAGTAATCACTTTAACTCCAGACAGAACCAATAATATCAGAGAAAACACGTCTTTCCATGACGTGTTCCGCCTGACAAATTTTGTTACGACACACATTTGTGACAGAAACTTTTTCGAAACTCTATTTAATAAAATTAATTTAATTGTGTACAATAATCTTGTATTGGAAGAGAACCTGCAAGCAATGGCTTAGAATCACACATTAGCAGCACAAGTGGTGGAGTAAAAATGTGTTCTGATCGTAAACATACGAATTTCTTAAATATAAAATATATGTAATAAAATTAAATGTAGCATATACAGTTTCTTTTTTGTTTGATACAACCCTTGTATTTTTTATTATTAAATATAAAGCTTAATTCGAGTAAAAACGATGTACACTTTCAGTTTCAATACAACGTTCAGCTGCAAATCGGCGAGTGCTGCTGTCGGGCTCTTCTTTGGCGCGTTCCAAAATTTGTTCTTCAGCCTGCAGTATATTATCTGTCACCATTGTCAAAGACATTAACCGAAAACAGGACGGCAACCAAGTGATACATGACTGATTCTTATCGTGGTTTTGCACGTTGCTTATCAGTGCGCCGCTTTTTTGGTTCTTAATCCTGGTCGTATTGTGCCATTCATTATGGTAGGTCACGAAACTCTAATAGTGGCTTGTATGACAATTTATATTTTGATTTCAAGTAATTTTTTCTAGACACTGCTACCACTTAAAGCCAGTTGCTACGTTTCCTGCATGGAATTTTCGATACATTTTCAGAATGTAATATTTCTAGTATTAACAGACTTATGGTTGTGAAATTTTAAATATAAGTTGTCCATAACGTGTTTTATATAACACAAGGATACTTTAGTTAAAAATAGTTTGTGATCATACTTTTTTTTAATTTTAGTAAAATTTTTGCATAACGTATTTTTAAAAATCAATATCTCAAATATTTAAGGAAATTTCGGAACACGGTTTTGAAAACTGTTTTCAGCTTACAAAACTCCAAAAGTCGTACTAGATATTTTGTTATGAGCGATAGGCAGTAAAAAAAAGCAAACAAAACAAATAAAGTCGAAAATATATCTAGTACGATCTCTAAAGTTTTGTAAGCTGAAAACAGTGGTGAAAACCGCGTTACAAAATTTCCATAAAGAACCGAAATATTGATTTTTTAAAATATGCCATGCAAAAATGTCTACAAAATTTAAAAAATCATGATAATAAACTGGCGGATTAACTCTTCAGTACAAAAAAAAAATAATAAAAATTTCTTTATGATGTAGATTACGAAAAAACTTAATTTTATAAAACTAAAATTAGCATGAATACCTCCGACTTACTTACTTTCCGATTTCTTACTAACGATGGTGACTGAAATCCACCTTTAATTTTGTTAGGGTAATAACCATAATAACCAGCAGTCATTAATCGTTGTACATTATTATTAATAAAACAAGCTGTTATTTTTCATTAATAAATAAACCAAAAAAAAACATCTTAATAAGACATTTATAAATTATAAACAAACACAAAAACAACAAAAGAAAAATCCATTAAAGCATAACTAACTAAAGTACTTGCTAAGATAAAACTGATTTTGGCAAATGACATACCCTCTAAGGAAAGAGGGCGGGGCTAGTACCTGCTAAGATAAAACTATAAGGTATTCTTTAAGAAAAGAGAGGGCGGGTGGGCGGAGCTAGAATAATACTTTGGAGTAATATTTTATGCTATAGAAATTATTCAAAATGTGCCCCATTCACAATTTGATACAAGCCCAGACGATGGTAGATCTGATTGACAGAATTTTCAATACTCTAGGGACATATACATATATACGAGTCATTTCATGACGAATTCGTGCTTTCAACTCGTCTAAATTATCAGGTCTGTACATGTAAATACGACTTTTTAAATATCCCAAAAAAAAATCAAGCGATGTCAGATCCGGAGACCTAGGTGGCCATTTTATCGGTCCACCCCTTCTAATTCACTTTCGATCAAATTGATTGTCCTAAACATGTAGTTTACGACTCCGAATTGAGTTTTTAACCGAAACGTCCAGATTTTTGGAAAAAAAATCAAAATTATAAAACAACATTTTGCAATTTAATTTTGAATCTGCTAATCCGCATGTTTTGAAATGTTACAGATGTTTTAAGGCTATAAAGAGCATCATAAATCTTTACTCAAAATATATTTGGTTATCCCCTCCAAAAACTTGATGACGTCAGCTCAAAAGTTTGCCAAATAAATCCTATGTAAAATGTACAAAATATGATGAGTCTGTGCTTGTGATATATCACTCCATTCATATTTTTTGGATTTGCATATACAGAGTGACTCAAAAAAATTAATGAATGCGTAAATTTATTTTACTGATTTACTCAGGAACTACAAAACCGAATGCTTTGAAATCTTGAAGGTGTTTTAAAGTTATCATAAGCATGGTAAGTTTTTGATCAAAATGTATTTGCTCATCCCCCCTAAAAAATTTATGACGTCACCACAAAATTTTGCTAAATAAATTCTATCTAAAATGTACAAAATATGATAAGTCTTTTCTTGTGATTTATCATTCCATTCATAGTTTTTGGATTTGCATATAGAGGGTGACCCAAAAAAATTAATGAATGGGTAAATGTATTTTATTGATTTAATCAGGAACTCCAGAACCGAATGTTTTGAAATCTTGCAAATGTTTTAAGGTTATAAAGAGCATAATAAACTTTTAGTCAAAATATATTTGGTTATCTTCTACAAAAAACTGATGCCGTCAGCTCAAAAGTTTGCCGAATAAATCCTATCTAGAATATACAAAATATGATGAGTCTGTACTTGTAATTTATCATTCCATTTATATTTTTTGAATTTGCATATACCGGGTGACTCAAAAAAAAATAATGAAATCTACTGCGAAAAAAAGAACATAATAGACATGCGGTCGTCACGTTTCCGACAGCGAGGGAAGTACTGTCTAAACTCTTTAGACCAATTTTTTTTTACTGTCAGAAGATGGAGAATAAAATGAAAGTCTTGACATGCTTTTGCATTTTTTGTTTCAAAAATAAATGCTGGGCTTTTTATGAATTTTATTCATTACTTTATCATAACCCTGTATATATTTTTTTAGCTATAAATTCAGATTGTGTGTGGGGTCCCCGAATAAAAGTTTGACAAAGAACAGTTCCATATCCTAAAGCTGATCATTAATTTTTCAAAGTGCTGTGAATGTATTAAAAAGAAAACTTATGAATATGATTGCACTAAAAATACGAAAGTTTTGAGAGCATTGTTAAATCCTTTTTATGGAGTGGTTTTTGAATTGTTTAACGTTATGTTCATACAAACAAATTTTACTGCGTGCATAACCTTATAACGCAATATTTATCTCGTATGCAGATATGTCTGTAAACTGTAAACAGACTGTAAAATAGTAATAAATTAAATTGCCAAAAGGGTAGGCTTGTTATTTGCACGATTTAACTATAACGGGAGTAAAAGAAATAAAATCTTAATTGTCAAGTTCTTTTAAGAAGTCGCTTATAAAAATTTTTTATAATTAAGTTGTGAATTGTATTCTCCGTTGACCTCTTTTCAGAAAGTACAAAACCCTCACAATTTAATCGTCACTTATCTCCCTCTTTGTTTGCAGGCTACTATCAAGAGTTCATCCCCAACGGTGCAGTGGGCACCCCGCCGCCTACGAGCAAAAAAACCACAAGCACTAGTACCGACCGGGACTCCCCCGCAGTCCGCCCCCGCAGCGTCGAAGAGACCGAAGCTGCCCATGACCTCCTCTCCCTCTCCCAAAGCCTGCCGCCGCTGCCCGCCCCTTCGGTGGTCACCATCCACTCCACCGTTCCGCACGAAGATGCTCCCCCGTCGCCCAGCACCTGCCACCTCCGGCCGCTGTCCCCCGAGCCGCCTCAGCCCGTCGCCGTGCCCTGCTACACACCCCCCATCGTGTACGTGGTGCAGGTGCCCGCCGCCCCCACGCCGCCCACGTCGGAGTGCTCGTCCGACGCCGAGAACCTGCATCAGGCGTCCGAAAGAAGCAGGTTTCACACGGTGCAGTCGCTGGCGGTGGACCAACAGGATATCCTGATCCTGCCGCTGTCGCCCGATCCCGACAGTCGCCTCCAGGAGCGGCCGCCGCCGCCGCCGTCGGATGTGGCCAGGCCGTTCCCCGTCAGGCAGGAGACCGTGATAGCATCTTCCCATCTCAACATTCCGGACAGGCGGAAGCGGAAACATAAAAGGACCAATAAAAATAACAAGACTTCCAGAAACAACAATGATCGTTCCGCGCTCGATAATAACGTCGAGGCGAGGAGCGAGGCGAAGAGTAAGGATCACAAATCGAAGGATCACAGGGATCATAAAGAACATAGGGAGCATAAAGATCACAAGCATCACAAAGATCACAAGGAACACAAAGAACATAAGGATCACAAGGAGCATAAGGATCACAAAGAGCATCACGAACACAAATCCAAGGATGACAAAAACAAGGATCCCAAAACCAAGACGGTAAGAACACATAATTTCTAATAACCGTTTAAAAAAACTCAAATGGAAACAAGTTTTAAATTACAAAAAAATTAACTCCAATTACCGCAATTTGTCGTGAATGTTCCCATTGATATGACCGATTTTGTCGTGAAGTAAATTTATTCTGCATTCACGTTTTATCATTCATTTGAAACCCGCAGGGCTGTTATATAATTCCCTACAACTCCGAGTACCTATTCAAACCAGCAAACACCTCCATTATTTTTGTATTTGTGATAACCTGACGATCTCTATAAGTTTCGTTTACGTTGGAATGCTACGAGATGTTAAAGAATTGAAACCAATAAACCCCCTTTTGTGTGGGACTATGCGCAGCTGCTTTGGAGATTCGGTTTTAATTGAGTTTTGCATCAACACGCACACAAACAAAAGGACGATTTTGTTTTTTGCATCTTTTGTGAATAAACTTTTAGTAAACCAGCGCCGGATTTACTAGTTGTGGAGCTTTGCGCTCTTGCTCTCTAACTCGAAATAAACATGTTATTACAAAAACTTCAATTATCTCTTAAGTGGGAGTTAAAAGTAAAAGCTTTGCATTTTCTAAATGTAAAGTTAAATACGTATAGCTGAAACTAGGTCCTAGAACTGGAATTGAAGCTTATCGTCGAAATGTTTTTGTTTATACTTTTGCTCGACATAAGTATTTTAAAAGTTCAAAGTGTTCCTTTTTCCAGGAGATTTTTCGGTACACACTTTACTTATGTCATAAAGTTGAAGCGGTTATTTGGCATAGTTTGTTTAATAAACTACTTTCATAAAAGTAACTCTTACGCTTTTTACAGTTGCATAACTAGCTCTATTTCATGAACTCCTTATGAATATGACACCGTTATTTCAAACTTTGTTGTTAAGTAGGCTTATAGGACAAGATTTTCATAACCATTATATTTCAGTTTTTAAACCAATTAATATAGTGTGTTTTCATAATACCTTAGAATGTGTTCGAATCAGAAGCAGTGGCGGTAAATAAAATAACCATCGACCAACTTTTTTTACAAAATCGCATAACGTAGGCTTAAAGCAGGAGTGAATAATCAATTCGTAAATTAAGCTGCACGCTTTAAGGGCGATTTCCTTAACCAAAATTTGAAATAATCCATTAATTTTTTCAGGAAAAAAAATTACACATATTTTAGTTACGTTTTTGTAAGTTCACATAGCAAAATATACACAGATGGCCATATACTGAGATAAACTTTATATTTACTTTACTTTTGGACGTCCCTGTAGTATAATTACAAATATTAATCTTTTTAAAACATTTCCGACAGACCGACTAACGGAAATAGGAAGGCTATATATAAGAACCTGTGCAATACCAAGAAATAAGGAAATAAAAGATTCAAAGGAAGGCGATAATTTCAGCTAAACGCGAATTACAGAAACTACACTAAAATGGGCTTCATTGTAAAATAATTTGTTCATCATGAAACATGCTGAATAAATGTTACGAAAATTTTTATTGTTTAATGTTTATTGTGATGAAAATCTATATTCGATAACCATTTTGCATGAAAAAGTAGATCCTAAAGGATTCATACGTTTTGTTTGAAATTAATAGCAAAATTAACTCTTTTCTTATTACATTTATTAACCAACTGTATTTATGCGTAAGTCATCAAGTTGTAACATTAATATGCTGACATATTTATAGCATTATTAACTTTCTGTGGACCTAGGATGTTACTCCTATTACCTCAGTTGTAATTTTTTTTATTTTTCTATAGCCTTCTATATAGGATTTGCCTACTTGTAATGTTAGGAATGGTTTAAGAGAGATGATCTGTCCAATTTTATATTTTCTTGACGTTTCATGACCCTTAGAGTACGAAAAAGTACCTCCCGTTTCCGTCTATCTGCCTGCCTGTCTGTCTGTCTGTCTATCTAGTGTCTGTACCCACTTTTATTGGACACGTAATTTCAGAAACTGCCGGACCGATTCTTATTAAATCTTATATGTATATTAGAAATATCATGTAGATGGTTAAATGTTAACCAAAATTTTGCTAATTATCCCCATCAATAATTTGATGGCGTCATTTCAAAGAATTGTGAAATGTTTATTTGATTTAACTGTTATACAACAATATAGTCCTGTAAGTATGGTGTATGAGTCCTCTTTTTTTTCACCTGGCTGTCGAAATTTTTGCTAAAACGTAATGCACGGTATAATAACAGATTATCATTAGCGTAAGGCATCCCGGTCGTGTTTAGTGGTTACCAGTTAGGAATGTGGACGGAACGTCGCACGTTCAAATCCAAACTTGGCCTTTCCTTTTCTTTTTCTTTTTTTTTTCTTTTTTTCTCTCGCATTGTGTATTATCTATGTTTATGCAGTCATAACAAATTTAAAATTGATGAAAATACCTCACTTTCTCGAAAAGGTGAGAATACGCCCCTCTTTATTTAAAAATGTAAAACCTTCCCAGGGGCATCAAACTTTTTTTTAATATGAAACCTCGGAGATCCCAACTGCCATTTTTAAAAATGTAAAACCTTCTCGAGGCCCAAATGTATTTTTTAAAAATGTGAAACATTCTCGGGGGCTCCAAACGTCTTTTTTTAATGTGAAACCTTCTCAGGGATGCCAACTGTGTTTTTAAAAATGTAAAACCTTCTCGGGGGCCCAAGTCCTTTTTTTAAGAATGTGAAACCTTCTCGGCGGGGGGGCAAACGTCTTTTTTAATGTGAAAGCTTCTCGGGGGACCCTACTGTCTTTTTTTAAAATGTAAAACCTTCTCGGGGAGCCCAAATGTTTTTTTTTCAATGTGAAACTTTCTCAGGGATCCCAACTGTATTTTTTTTAAATAAATGTAAAACCTTCTCGTGGGCGCTAAATGTCTTTTTTATATAAAACCATCTCAGGGATTCCAAGTGTCTTTTCTAAAAATGTAAAACCTTCTTGGGGGCTCTAAATGTCGTTTTTTTAATGTGGAACCTTCTCAAGGGCCCCAAATGTCTTTTTTAATGTGAAAGTTTCTCAGGGTTCCCAACTGTCTTTTTTAAAAATGTAAAAGCTCAAGGATTTCAACTGAGTTTTTAAAAAATGTAAAACATTCTCGGGGGCACCAAATGTCTTTTTTTATATAAAATCTTCTCGGGAATTCCAAATGTCAAAACCTTCTCGGGGGCTCCAAATGTCGTTTTTTTTTTAATGTGAAACCTTCTCGGGGGCTTCAATCGTTTTTTTTATGTGAAAGCTTCTCAGGGGTCCCAGCTATCTTTTTTAAAAATGTAAAACCTGCTTGGGGGGGGGGGGCAAACGAAATATCTTTTTTTTATATAAAACCTTCTCGGGGATTCCAAATGTCTTTTTTAAAAATGTAATGCAAAACCTTCTCGGGGGGCGCAAATGTTTTTTTTTTTAAGAATGTGAAACCTACTCAAGGATCCCAACTGTGTTTTAAAAATGTAAAATCTCCTCGGGGGCGCCAAATGTTTTTTTTTTATGTGAATCCTTATCGGGGGTTCCAGCTGTCATTTTTAAAAATATAAAACCTTGGAGGCCCCAAATGTATATTTTTAGAAGGTTAAACCTTCTCCGGAGTCCTAACTGTTTTTTTTTTATGTAAAACCTTCTCGGGGGGCGGCAAAGGTTTTTTTTTGTTTAAGAATGTGAAATCTTCTCGGGGATCTCAACTGTACTTTTTTTAAATGTAAAACTTCTCGAGGGCGCCAAATGTCTTTTTATATATGAAACCTTCTCGGGGGTTCCAACTGTTTTTTTTTTATTGTATAACCTTCTCAAGAGCCCCAAATGTATTTTTTTGGGATTATGAAACCTTCTCGGGGGTCCCAACTGTCTTATTTTAAAAATGTAAAACCTTCTCGGGGGCCCAAATTGTCTTTTTTTAATATGAAACCTTCTCAGGGATCCCAACTGTGTTTTTTAAAAATGTAAAACCTTCTCGGGGGCCCAAGTCTTTTTTTTAAGAATGTGAAACTTTCTCGGGGGGGGGGGGGGGGGCAAACGTCTTTTTTAATGTTAAATTTTCTCAGGGATCCCAGCTGTGTTTTTTAAAAATGTAAAACCTTCTTGGGGGCTCTAAATGTCGTTTTTTTAATGTGAATCCTTCTCGGGGGCCCCAAATGTCTTTTCTTTTTTAATGTGAAAGTTTCTCAGGGGTCCCAACTGTCTTTTTTAAAAATATAAAAACTTCTCAAGGTTCCAACTGAGTTTTTTAAAAATGTAAAACATTCTCGGGGGCACCAAATGTTTTTTTGGTAAAACCTTCTCGGGGCTCCAAATGTCGTTTTTTTTTTAATGTGAAACCTTCTCGGGGGTCCAATCGTTGAAAGCTTCTCAGGGGTCCCAACTATCGTTTTTAAAAATGTAAAAACTGCTGGGGGGGGGCAAACGTTTTTTTTAAGAATGTGAAACCTTCTCAGGGATCCAAACAGTTTTTTAAAAATGTCAAACCTTTTCGGGGGTGCCAAATATATTTTTTTATATGAAACCTTCTCGGGGATTCCAAATGTCTTTTTTGAAAATGTAAAACCTGCTGAGGGGGGGGACAAACGTTGTTTTTTAAGAATGTGAAACCTTCTCAGGGATCCCAACAGTTTTTTAAAAATATTAAACCTTCTCGGGGGTGCCAAATATCTTTTTTTTATATGAAACCTTCTCGGAGATTCTTAATGTCTTTTTCAAAAATGTAAAACCTTCTCGGGGGGCCCAAATGTTTTTTTTTAAGAATGTGAAACCTACTCAAGGATCCCAACTGTGTTTTTTAAAAATGTAAAATCTCGTCGGGGGCGCCAAATGTCTTTTTTTATGTGAATCCTTATCGGGGGTTCGAGCTGTCATTTTTAAAAATATAAAAATAAAAAACCTTGGAGGCCCCAAATGTCTATTTTTAGAAGGTTAAACCTTCTCGGGGGTTCTAACTGTTTTTTTTTTAATGCAAAACCTTCTCGGGGGCCCCAAATGTGTTTTTTTTTAATGTAAAACCTTCTCG